GTCATGAACGAAGAGAAAATCCTTCTATATCTGACCCTTGGAGTAGCGAATGACATCTGAGAGCAGTTCTACAAAGCATGGAGCCTGGGGCCTGCCCCAAATTTTCTCATTCTCTTCCTGAACACCTCATTCTGTGTAGAGACAGGAGTACTGAAGACAAAATGGTACCTTTTGCCCAACTTATCTACCCAAAGACACAGGATAAACAGATCCTCCCTCCCATTCGGTGAGCTGGTGGGGACGCTGTGTGTTGCACACAACTCTGCTCCTAGGTACTTAATCTTCACACAGATACCTCATCTGCCCCAGCAAAAACTGCTCTATGGGGATGTTGCCCCTTCAGTCCCTTGGGCGACAGGACTCTACTGTCTGTTTTCCTCATCCTTCCTCACTGAAGTTCCCAAGCAAGCCTTGTACTATTCTGAAAGTGAAGTTCTTCTCAATTAAAAAGTATATCTGCATTAAAGTTAACTTCAAATTAGAATACATGCCACTCTTGAGGAAAAGTCAAGGAGCAATAATAAATGCTTGATGTGCCAAGATGAAGATTTGGATTTTGTATCTGAAATCTCCAAGTTCACTGGAAGTGTGTGTGTGTGTGTGTGTGTGTGTGTGTGTGTGTGTGTGTGTATTTAAGACCTCTGAGAAAGTCAAAGAAAAAGGTGAATAGGATTTTAAAGATAACTTGTGTGGTCCAGAAAATAATAGTAAGTAAAAATGTTGAATATCCCAAAACTCTACTTCCCTTTCCATTAATTTCCACATTACTAGAGGGGTGATCCAGCACCCCATGTCTTCTTTGTAGGGAAGAATTCTCCAAACCTTCCATACACGACAGCCTGGGTTTTTCTCTTAATCAGTCTCAGAAGTCTTGGAGTGAGTCCCTGCAATCCAACAGGGTCTAAAACCTCTGGAGGGGGGAGTTTGCTTTAGATTTTAGAAGTCAATTCTTCACTGCGAGGTTTCACAGCCACAGAAAGAGAAGACGTTTCATAAGGACAGCATTGAACCCAGGCTGCTCTCCTCTTAAGCAACCTTTTGAATTACATTATCTTAGGGTTCTCCTTTATGAATTCTGCTAGCAAAGCTGTGGATACCAAACAGAAACCTAACCCATGTCTCAGTCATAAGACTCCAAAGTAGTGGAAAATTCATCTCCTAAAGAAGGTTCTCAAGTTTTATGTTTTCATCAAGACTGGAAGTGTTAGCAATCAGATGTCTGGATCCCCCCGCCCCCCGCCACCAGCCTCTGCACATGCTGTGCCCTTTGTCTAGAACTTTCCCAGGACACCTTGTCCCCCCCTGGCCAACTTCACTCAGCTCTCAAGACCAGGCAAGTCCTCTTCTACCTCCTTGATTTAGTTCAGCTATGTATCTGCAGCCTCTATGCCACCTGACACACTGCATCTGTTTACATGTGGGACTTATAGATAGGTATGTGTCTTAGTTAACCTGGTCTATGCTGTGGTTTGGGTAAGTTTGTACCAAAAGTTCATGTGCTTTCAAGGCTTGGTTCCCAGAACAGCATTACCAGTAGGAATGGAACGTTTAGGAAGTAGGGTCTGGTGAAATCTATAAGCCACTGGGGTCATGCCCTTGAAGAGGATTGTGGGGTTCCAGACCCTTCCTTTTTCTCTCTTTGTCCCCTGGTTTGTAACTTGAGTAGTTCTCCTCTGGCACATGGTCCAACCACCATGCTGGGCTTTATCACAGGTCCACAACATTGAGGCCAGTCAATCACAGAATGGAACCTTCAAAGGTATGAGTCAAAACAAACCTTTCTTTCTTATGAGTTAATCATCTCATAAGAAGTATTTGGTTATAGCGACGAAAAGCTAGCCAACACAGGCTAGCATAACAAAATATCACAGACTCATTGGCTCAAATAATAGACATTAGCTTTCTCAGAATTCTGGAGGCAGAAAGTCCAAGATCAAGGGATGCTAGCAAGAGCCAGATTCTGGTGAGGTCCTCTCTTCCTAGGTGGGAGAGTCACTCTCTTCTTGTGTCCTTACCTGGTTCGCAAACAATAGAAGATCTCTGGTGTCTCTTTTAAGGACACAGTCCTACATTAAGCCCCGCCCTCCTCACCTCATCTAAAATTGTCCCCCAAAGGCCCGACCTCCAAATATCAATACACGGGCATTAGGGCGTCAGTATATTCATTGAGGATTGGCTGACACAACTCAGTCCATAGAAATACTTAAGTGTGTCAAGAAAAAAAAAATAAAATAAGCGGAGGTCAGAAGAGGGTGTCGGATCCCCTGGAACTGGAGTTTAAGGACGGAATGTGGCAGCCATGTGGGTGCTGGGAATCGAACCCGGGTCCTCTGCAAGAGCAATCAGTACTCTTAACCGCTGAGCCATCTCTCCAGCCCCAGAAAATAAAATTTTAAAGCTGCAGTTTCTGGCCATATCCCCAACAACAGGTGAGGAGGCCTCTCTCACAGCTCAAGGATGGGCCATGCAGCTGGTTTTGTCCAGTAAGACAGAAGCAAAGGTGACAGAGAAGCACCCAGGAGAGTCCTATGCGCTACAGCTTCCCCCAAGGGACACTCTTCCCCATCGTGTGAGTGAAATTCTGCAGATTCAGTGTTTGGCTTCCCGGCCTCCTCTGCAGTGACCTTCAGAGCTGGTCACTCAGCCCCAGTAGAGCTTTTCTGAGTATCTAGCATTGTCCCTTCTTGGAGAGAATAATTCCATCAAGTGGATGTTAGTGCAGAAATATTGAGGTGACCCAGATGGGACCCACCTAGAGACCCATCTGTGGTTACTAAATATGAATTCTTTTCTCTGGTCAAACAACTTGGCAGAAGGGGCAAAAACAAATTCCAAGCTTTCTGCAGCCAGTGCTTTTCATCCCCCTTTGCCATCTCTCTACACGGACAACTGACTTGCTTTTGTGTCACAGTCAGCAAAAGGCGACAGACGTGCCTTGCTGAGTATAAAGGGGGCCTGAGCCTGGAGCCCTCCCCAGCTCTGCGGCTTCTTTGCCCACATACATTCTTCATGCAGAGGAGATGCCTGCTTCACATGAACTTTCCCCAGACTGAGTCTCATCATGTTGACATCTGAGCCAACACAAAGGTATCTGTCTTCTTAAAAGTAGGACTGCAGAGTTAGCTCAGTGCTTAAGAGCACTGGCTGCTCTTGCAGAGGACCCATGTTCAATTTGCAGCACCCACATGGCGGCTAACAGTTCATAACTCCAGGTCCAGGGGATCCAACACCCTCTTCTGACCTCCATAGGCACATGGGTGTACTTATATATATGCAGGCAATACATTTGCACACATGGTGGTGCACGCTTTTAATCCCAGTACTCAGGATGCAGAGGCAGGCAGATCTCTGTAAGTTCAAGGCCAGCCTGGCCTACATAGTGAGTTCCAGGACAGCTGGGTCTACAGGGAGACCCTGTCTCAAAAATAAATAAATAAATAAATAAATAAATAAAT